CCCCAAAACCCCAAAACCCCAAAACCCCAAAACCCCTTCAAATAATCTAAAATTTGAAATAATATTTACATTTCTAGTTTCAACATGAGTGAATATTTTCGAAAATACATTAAGGTACTTCTTACAGGTTATTTCTAGAGTTCAATCCGGAATGAGCTATGACCGAACAAGAATGGCCAAATTAGGTTCAAAACTACCTTCAAAAACTGTGTCCTGGATACCCTCAGGAAAAGGAACTTCAAAGAAACGGAGGTAGAGAAGGATACCGAGTGGGACATACTCTGGGCAGATAGAGAATGGATCTATGATATTCTTAATCATTACCATCTGCAACCTCATCAGAAGATTAATCATTTCAGGAACCATTATGAACTTACTAGGAAAGATCTGATGGTCAAGAACTTAAAAAGGTATAAGAAACAATTAGTTAAAGAAGGAAAGACTGACGATGAATACAGCCTTGATTTCTACCCCACTACTCATAACCTTCCCTCTGATTACTCTTTGTTCGTGGAGGAATTTAAAAAGAATCCTGGCTCTGTTTGGATCATGAAACCAATCTCTAAAGCGCAGGGTAAAGGAATCTTCTTGTTTACCAAGCTGGCTCAGATTTCACAATGGAAGAATGACTTTCGCTGGAAGCCAGATTCCCCACAAGCAGATCCTTATGTGGTACAGAAGTATATCTTGAGACCCTTCCTGATTGGAGGGAAAAAGTTTGATTTAAGAATATATGTTCTAGTTACGAGTTACTCTCCTCTAACTGTCTATCTCTACCGTGAAGGATTCGCTAGATTTACTCACCACAGGTACTCTACTAATATTGATGACATTACTAATTCCTTCATGCATTTGACAAATGTTGCAGTACAGAAGACCTCAATGGCCTATGATGATAAATTAGGAGGAAAATGGGATCTTAGAAGTTTAAAAATATACCTGATGACTAGGTACGGTCAGGAAGAAGTTAGTGCAGCTTTCACTGGGGTTCAAGATCTTATCCTCAAATCACTCCAGTCTGTTGCTAAAGTAATCATAAACGATAAGCATTGATTTGAATTGTATGGGTTTGACGTCCTGTTCGACGCGAAGCTAAAACCATGGCTGATAGAAGTAAACGCAAGCCCATCACTAACAGCCACGACACCATCAGACTACAATACTAAGTTCAATCTTCTAGATGATGCATTTACTGTAATAGACATGGAGAATTTCCTGACCGGTAACGAGGAGCAAATAGGTGGTTTTGATCTTATATGTAAAGGGACTCCTTCTAAACTACCTATAAACTCCACCTTTAAGACATACCTCGGATGCTATAATAACAGGAAGCAGCAGCTAAAGAAATTAGCGAAGATCACCTCCTCAAGGCTCACTCAGCAGTATACCCAAGAAATCGTTAATGGTGGAAGCAGCCATAAAGGAGGATATAGGAAATAATCGAATGGTTTGATAGTTATTGGCAATATTTATTTCAAATTAAAAATGAATATTAGGGGTTTTGGGGTTTTGGGGTTTTGGGGTTTTGGGGTTTTGGGG